CATCAGCATGTTTATAATCAGTAAATCATCTCTAAATGAACCCAAATTCCTATAGCTATGTTGAATTCCTGGGTCTCATATTCCATATTTCCATCAATATTCCATTGAACATATCCCAATATCCCAAATTACTGGGTATATTCTTCTCATGAATGTCAAAAATATCCCAATAGATCCCTCTATATATATATGTCCCATATTATATATATATGTATATATATATGTATATATATATATGTATATATATATGTATATATATATGCATATATATATATATATATGTATATGTATATATATATATGTATGTCCCATTATATATATATATATATTATGATATTCCATCTATTAGAATTTACAATACATATTGAACATATCCCAATATATCCCATTCTTTATAGATTTTTATCACCAGGACTATCTCCATTCAGCCCAGCTGCAGGTGGTAATGTAACCACCGGGGCTGGCACCTCGCCGAGCCGATAGGAAAAATCCAACGAAAATCGTGGAGTTTTTTGGGTTTCTTCAGTGGTAAAATGAAGGGTTTTTAGTGGGGAAAATCCACCAACAAATGGCCTAAATTATTGGTCTTGATTGTTTTTGAGTGGGAAAATTCCAGTTGTTATGTTGATTCTGAGGAAATGATTAGGGGTTTATTGACTATGAATCGCCTTGGTCTGAAAATGGTGGATACCTTTTTTAATGGCGGTTTAAGATGTTTTGCTGAGAAAATCAGGATGATTCATTGGCTTTTAGGGGATCTCCTATTTTTTCAGAGAAAACCTGAGATGTTCATAGGACTCTTAATCCGTGTTGGATTTTAAGGGCTAGGAATCTTAATCCATCTCAGATGCATCCCTTTACGCTGGATGGTGTGGGTTTCAAGAAACCTTCTGCCCTTTGGAACATTCTCAATATCACCAGATCCCATTTCAACTCAATTCAACATCCCCTTCTGTCTGAACATTCTCAATATCATCAAAAATGGGCCTTGGAACCAATAATGCCCTTTGGGTAAAAAAAAAAAGGAGGGGCCGGGAGCTGGTATACCATCTATCATCATTTACCTGTTAAAGGGAGTTTCTTCAAACCCCTCTTGTTTCATCAACCAACCAATGGGAATTTGGATGAATTTGGGACATCTATGGAACCACCAGATCCCATCTCAACTCACTTCACCTTGGATTCTCCACGACTTTCCCCTTCCATTTTGCTGCTAGGGGTCCCCAGTGGATTTCCCGTTGGGGAAAATGAGCCAAAAAACTCCCATCGATGCAGCAAATCCCACTAGATCATATAACTGGATGATTATAGGTGGATATTTGCATCTAAGATTTGGATTATAACATCTTATACCCACAATATAACTGGATGGTTATAGTCCCCCAAGTGGGTCAATAACTATTAATACTTTATGGCTAAGTGGGTCAATAACTATGGCTAAGTGGGTCGTAACTATTATAGTCCCCCAGAAGTTATCATAATACTTACTGGCTAAGTGGGTCAATAACTATGACAACTGTTGGACTATTATGGCGGACATATCGTTGCAAACAGACGGGACTTTTGACAAAAAAACTCAGCAAATCCTCCAGATCTATCCATAGCTACGGCCAGGACGGGATGAGAGTTTCCCCATAAATCCAACAGGTATCAGAGTCCCTGTTTATAGATATCCCGTAAATTAACAGTTCGACCCTGCCAGATTGGAGTTGGCAGATGGGTTTCCACCAAAAAAAATGTTATGTAATGTGTTATATATATATATATATTCTGGCTCAAACTGTTCATTTACCAAAGGGTATAACGTGGGTAAAACAATAATAAACCACCCATTTGTAAATGGTCGAAATGGTTTATTCCACCTATTTATAGTGATTTGGGGGATGGTGTAATCATTATTGTTTTACCCACATTATATTGTTATTTGTATAATCCACCTTTTTTGTAAAACAATGATAGTTTCTATTATCATTATTGTTATGTGGAATAACAGTATTGTTATTTCTAACAAAAAAGACATCTCTCATAACAAAATAATGTTATCCAACATAACAAAAATGATAGATCAACTTTAGATGTGGATCCTCATTATTGTTATTTTTGTTATGTTAGATTTCTATGATCCATTATAGTTATCATAACAAAAAAGACATCTCTCCCCCCATCCGTTTCCATTCCCCTGGGTCTCCCGGGCCAACACCAAGGCTTCCAACGGCTGCAGCTCGCGACGGATTTGGCCCGCTGAATCCACGGTGAGCACCTGCATGCTGCCCTGGTGAAATTGATGGTTTTTACCGCGAAAAATGGTGGATTTCACCACGGAAAAACGATGGATTTACCCTCTGGTTATTTAACATAGCCATGGTATAGATGACCCATAGAAATAGATGGTTTACCTATTAACAATGGTGGATCTTTCCATGGCTATGTTAGTCATAACCAGAGGGTAAGTTGATTTAAGCAGCAAAAATCATAGATTTTACCACATGGTGAGCGATCTTTCGAGTTGGAAATGTGATTCACAGAGTTTTTGCTAGGAAAATACTGGGTAACAAAATGTAACCAACCGTTTTGCAACATGTTATAGAATAAAATCAAAAAAAAAGAAAGGCTATTTTTTTTCTCCATCCAAACGGCATTGATGTAGCTAATCCTTCGTGCTGTTTCCGACCATCCGAATGCATTCGACTTAAGTTTCTCGTGCACGGCTTCACCTTTGACTGAAAGTCACAGTGTTTTTGCATCAAAAATCAAGTTTTCCCCTTGAAACATCACCTTCCGTTTTCTTAAACCTCCGAAGGAAAGAACTGAATCATTCTGGTCACCTGAAGACAATATCATGTGGTGTGGACACTCTGAATAGCTCCTTGGCTCCCGATTTAGTGGAAATGGATACAACCATAGTTCCTTCGTTTGCTCCTCCAATCCACCGCCGGGCCAGATAGACCATTATCCAACCACAGGTTCATCAACATCATCATCATCATCATCGTCATCATCGTCATCATCATCATCATCATCGTCATCGTCATCGTCATCATCATCATTATCATGTTGATTGATTGGTATTGACGATTCATTGTATGCATTTCATTGATTCAGTTGTGACCCCCTTCAAAGACTAAAAATCCCTCCATCGAAAGTGGAAGTTGAGGATCCGTAGCTCCGAACCTGACAAAACCATTCACCACTGGATACAGTAGTTGAAAAACTAAGAATCAATATCAATCAATAGCATTCAATATCACTCAATATCGTTCAATATCATTCAATATCATTCAATATCACTCAATATCATAGACAATATCATAGACAATATCAAGTCAATCATGGTGGAATCAAAATCAACATCAGCATGGGTGATTCAACATGTTCACTCAATAATGATATTCATGGAAATTCACTCAATAATCATTCAATATCAATCAACATGGCTGATTCATTTGAAATATATTTGATTGATTTATAGTTGATTCATAGTTGATTGATATTGTTTTTGATTGATATACCAATTATTGCTTGATATTGCTTGATGTTTGATTAATATTGCTTGATTGATTGATAAAAAGAACAGTGATTGAGGTCGATTTATAGATATATTGATATTGCTTGATCTATTGATCTATTGATTGATTTAAGGTTGAGTTCTAGATATTATAGATCAACTAGAACACATTCAACTAGAAAACCGAAAAATATCTATAGTTGATAGATCAACTAAAAACATTAATTATTGATATTATAGATCAATGATAGTTGATAGTTTTGATTATTGATATTATAGTTGATATCTATAGTTGATAGTTAATTATTGATATTAAAAACATTAATTATTGATATTATAGATCAATGATAGTTGATATTATAGTTGATAGATTATCTATAGTTGATAGATCAACTAATATCAACTAAGATCAATGATAGTTGACAGACCTTCATTGATCCAAAAGGTTGTTTTTCGAAACACGCCTCGTTGCTGGAAACCGAAACCGCGTTGCTCAGCGTGGTGCCCGGGCTCCACGGAACGCTGATGGTCACGTCTTTGGTGCCTCGAAACGACCATGAAAAATGCTGGAGTTCACCAGCAAAAACGGAGGATTTTTTTGTAGTTGATGTATAGAAACAATTGGGAAAGTTATATAACTTTTAAAAAAAAAATAGGAAAGTTGATAACAATTTGGGAAAGTTGATAAGAAATCGTTGATGTATAGAAACAATTGGGAAAGTTGATTTGATAAAAAAACAATAGGAAAGTTGATAACAAATTGGGAAAGTTGATAAGAAATCGTTGATGTATAGAAACAATTGGGAAAGTTGATTTGATAAAAAAACAATAGGAAAGTTGATAACAAATTGGGAAAGTTGATAAGAAATCGTTGATGTATAGAAACAATTGGGAAAGTTGATTTGATAAAAAAATAGAAATGGTGGATTTAGACAGTTGCTTCATAGTAAAAAGGCGGAGTTAACAGACAATAAATAGGAAATTCACCATGTCAAAATGTGCGCAAAAAGTGGGGATTTAACCAGCAAAAACAGAGGATGTATATAGAATGGATTATGATAGCTGTGTTGGCTTATAACATGTTATAACCAGCATAAATGAGTGTTGATTAAATGAGTGTTGATTTCACCGGTCACCAGCTAAAAATAAATTTTCACGGATAATGAGTGGCGCCCAATCCATCCAACCATCTACTAAATACCATTAATTACCACCACAAATGCTGATTTAAGATGATTTCACCGGGTATCTGAAAGGAATCAACGTGTAAGCAACCAAAGTCAAGGGGATTGATAGTTGAATTTTGGTAGCTCAGTTTGTCTATGTTGCGTGTACAACTGTGGGGTTTATTGTAGATATATCGAACTAGTTAGACAATGGGGGATTATAAGACTGAAAACATCCCATCACCCCATCCCCAGATTACCAATCCCTCCAATGGGTATGTGCTTGGGAAACTCGTGGTAGCTCCGGACCGCTAACCCTCCGAACCCTCCTAACCCCTGGATGTTTGCGGCTCCATGGCGAACCTGCAGAATCCCCGTCCGCCCCATCCGCCCGAGCCGCTGTTCTGATGGAAGTTCGCCAGCACCACCAGGCGTTGGGCGCTGCTGCAGCCGCGCTCGAAGACCAGGACGTTGGGGATCTGCGGCTCTGGCGTCGTCACCTGGGACTGGGACCCGGTCACCAGGAATGGAGGGAAAATGGTGGGAAAATGGTGGGAAAATGGTGGGAAAATGGTGGGAAAATGAGGGGAATGGATGGAAAATTGAAGAAAACTCAGGGAAAATGGTGGGTAAATGGGGAAGAATCGGGAAAAATGATGATTTTAGGACGGTTTGAAGAGAGATAAATGGGTGGTTTTAGCTCAATCAGCCAAATGTTGCAGTTCACTACCATGTCACCAATGTGAATAGTGATAGAAACCTCACAAGGTCAAGTTGGAAAACATGTATGTTCATCCCCAAAAAGATAGATTAACAAATCCCTACTAATTTGATGATGAATCACTTTTCCATCTTGTTGGGGATAACTATAGTATATATATATATAGGAATCGCAAGATGATACACGCTTTGATGATCGGTTCCAGTATGAAAATCCGTGGCATTGGATGCCCCCCAGTGGTAGATCATCGGTGCCTGATCGCACATTTCCGAGCCAAAGGATCCGAAGTAGGCCTTCGGAAGGCATTGGGTGTGTTGGGATGGGAGACAGATATTTTTCATTTATATCGGTACAATGGTGATTTTTCATGGGACATAATGAGATATATAATGTGTGTTTGTGTTTGTATATAATATATATATATAATATATAATATATATATATGCCCTCTGGTAATTTAATATAGCTATTGAAAATGGCCCAGTCGAAATAGTTGATTTACCCATTAAACATGGTGAAATTCCATAGTTACGTGAACGTTTACCAGAGGGTAAACCTCCATTTTCCATCATTTTCCTATGGTTTTCCTATGGTTTTCCCATTAAAACCTCCATTTTCCTATGGTTTTCCTATGGTGATGTACTTATCGGGGGATAAAAAAAGGTGATCATCCATCGGAGTTGTGGGATACCCGTTGGAAAAATTGGACTGGTCGTAACTCGGGAAAATGATGAGAATCCATTGGACTGGGGGGCAGAGAAGACATATATATATATATATGTATGTGTGCATGTATATATATATATATATATGCTCTAAAAAGATAGGAAAAAATAAAATTCAAACCAAAAGAAGTGATGAATAAAAGTCAAACCAAAAGTAATGGCGAATTACGGTTCTACCTTTTTGGAGCTTACTATAAACGAATGGCCACTGAATGATGACTGAATCGATGGCCGGGGTTTTCATCCATCATTTTGGGTGGAACAGCTAGACGCGAAAGACCAAAGATACTCCCTATTTGACTGCTGAATTTCAAGATATTTCAAGTGCCTATACTCAGGCAGTGACATTCAATCAAGCACCCCGCATTCTGACTCATCTCCTGAAGTGGGCTCATCTCCAACACAGAAGTATAGGGAAAATGAACATCGAAAACCTTGAGGTATTGGTTTACACAACAAACCAGACGAACGTAACTCTGGTTTTGCCTGAAAATGGGGAAGATATCCTCAAATGTCTAAAAGGTGACGCCCTCCAAGTAAGTTTGTGAACTACTTCAATAAAACAAAATTAGAGGGGGCTATAAAATATTTAGCCCTTGGGCACCACATAATCGCAGACATATTTGGTAATTATATCCCCATGAAAGTTCCATTAACTCCACATATTGTTGGTTACTGTCCCAAAGACTCCATAGATTCGAGCCTCTTTTCAACATAACCATGGAAGCCATGGCCCATTTACAGATGATAAACACGAGTTACCCACGGAAAAACGGTGATGTTCCACTTCGCAAACTGTTGAATAACCGGTCAGTGAGAAAATTATGGTAAAACCCATGAAAACCCATGTAAAACCCATGAAACCCATGAAACCCAAACACCATCATCCGCGCCTCCCGCAGGCCGTTCAGTCGTGCAATGTAATGATAGGACTCCGAAGTCATGTCCTAAGCGCGCCAGCGATGGATTCCAGGGATCGGCGTTGCATCAAAACCCAACACCCACGGCAAGCACCACACCGAGCTACAAAGTTGTCGTTATCTGCAGGGTTGCCACCTGGCATCAAATTTGCTTGGTGGTCATTGCTTGGCACCATTTCTCAGGGCTCAAATTCTTCGTTTCATGTCCTCCTAGCATATCCCATCTAAACCCCATCATTCCCACACATTCTTAGTACCTAAACCCATCAACATCCCATCTAGACATGCTTCAGCCTATATACCGTCCGACACTGTCCCCGATGTTTTCAACATGTTTTCCCCAATATCATGATCCAAATCACTTCAGATCCTCAAGTTTCCACATAAATCACAAAGTTTAACCTCAGATCACCCTTGGATATTCATCATGAACCATCGATTTCCTTCATTTTCCCTCATTTTCCGATCATGTTCCCCTCATTTTCCCTATGTTTTCCTCATGTTTCCCTATGTTTTCACCATTTTTCCTATGTTTTCACCATGTTCCCACGTTTTTCCCACGTTTTTCCCCACGTTGTCGCCCCGTTCTCTCGGCGCCCCCGGTGGTTTCCGAGGCCTGGCTGCGTGGCCACGGCGCGCCAGGCCATGGACGGGCTCAGCTCCTCGCGGGACCAGCCGTCCAAGGCGCTGCCCGGGGTGTCCAGGTCCTGCTCGTCGCCTGCAGTGGAGCAAAGGTTATATTGAGTTTAGTATATAGATAGATATAAATATGTATATTATATATATATATATAGATATAGATATAGATATAGATATGGATATAGATGTAGATGTAGATAGACTATAGATGTATATTATGCCAGGTATCACAACCTCTGTTTTGAGATACCTCTGACCCACCCGGGTTGATATCGCCTGCGTAGTGCAGCGGCACGCCGGGCCAGAAGGTCACCACCACCAGGCACATCCTCATCTGGTCCCTGGCAACGGACGTTGAAAACGGCCCCAGAAACGAATGGAAAACCATAGGAAAATGGAGGTTTTCATGGGAAAACCATAGGAAAACCATAGGAAAATGATGGAAAATGGAGGTTTTCATGGGAAAACCATAGGAAAACCATAGGAAAATGATGGAAAATGGAGGTTTTCATGGGAAAACCATAGGAAAACCGTAGGAAAATGATGGAAAATGGAGGTTTTCATGGGAAAACCATAGGAAAACCATAGGAAAATGATGGAAAATGGAGGTTTACCCTCTGGTAAACCTACAAAAAACTATGGAAAAGCACCATGTTTAATGGGAAAACTCACTATTTCTATGGCCATTTTCAATAGCTATTTTGACATAACCAGAGGGTAATGTTGATATTGTGAATGGGAGAGTCATTGAAGTATAGTAACTATATGTAACTATAGCTAATGTTGATGACTGTTAGTGGGAGAATCATTGATCTAACTATAACATACTATAACTATAACTATCAACTGTAATCATTGATGGAACTCTAACTATCAACTATAGTTTAATGGGAGAATCATTAAACTATAACTAATGTTGCTGGTAAATCATACCTCCATTTTAGGCTCCTGAAATTCCCATTGAATGGTTTCGCAAGGTTTGTAAGTGTGATGAAAACAGTCTCAAAGCCCGAAAGCCCAAACAAAAACTGCCATGTCCGCTATAGATATCACCTGGTGGGAACGTCATCCACTATTCACAGGCCGATGCTTAGCTACCCACAAGAAGACTTCATGTGGTAAACCCAATTGCCACAAGCCATCCCCAAAATCATCATTTTAGTGGATGGTTATAAACCCCTCCCCACATGGTAGCTTTATGGCATTGGGTTTACCACCTGAAGACTCGGATGTGGCCGCTCCTCCCAGTCATGCTCTGCAGACGCCAGTTGTCATGGTTGTTGCAGAAGTTCCACATGGCATACCTCAGCTCCAGCGAGTCCGCGGCTTCACTTCTGGCTAGCCACCAGTTGGGCACCTCAAGATCCTCAAGTCTTCAATGAGGCCCACGGTAGTGCTGAGTTTTCTATTGGTGTGGCCAAAATCCCATCCGAATCCATGGCTAAAGATCAAATTCTGAAAATGGATTTATCCCAAAAATGGACCAAATCCTTCTTACATGAACAATTCGGCACAACTTCTGCTTCTTCTCCCACGTACTTTTTGACTGCAAAGCAGGCGGCTCTTTTCGCTGTGTCATGGGGTCATAGGTGTCGATCATCTTGTTCTCTTCCCGGTATGCTAACCTCAGCAGTGAACTCCAAGGCCACATTCACACCGATCGAGCTGATAGTTGGGATGGTACTCTTGGTATTCCACTTTTGGGCATGTAGACCTTCGAACAGTGTCCATCTGTTTTGTTGGTCATCTCAATTCCCACACACTTTTCGAGGTCCGAAATTTGTCGTGGTTTCCACTTGCCAGAGAACGCTCCGCCACTTGTGAATCCACTCAAAACCGCGCCAAACCCACAAAAAGCCAAGCAACAAAAGCCTGAAAAAACAACAGCAACAACAACCACCACCACCAACAACAACAACAACAACATCATCATCATAGAAGACTTCACAAATCTGAGATTCATCTCGGAATCACTAAAATTTCTGTCCACCATTTCTCCCCAGCCACAAACCTCTGAACCGAGCAACGCCAGGCCGTCAGCATATTGCGCATCGTTATAGACCAGGGAGGTGAAGATGTACCAGTAGTACCTTATGGTTTACCCTCTGGTTAATCTATGGATAATCTATGGATAATCTATGGTTAATATATGGTTAATCTATGGACAATCTATGGATAATCTATGGTTTATCTATGGATAATCTATGGTAGTACCTTGACGCATGATCCCATCATTGGCTGAATCATGGAACTGAATCGAACAAAATGGAAAAATTGGGCTATGGGCCATAGAATTACACCAGGAAAAATTGGAATGATCCTATGATTTACCCTCTGGTTTATCTATGGATAATCTATGGTTAATATATGGATAATCTATGGTTTATGGTTAATAGTTACCCCTTTTGGCTGAATCATGGAACTGAATCGAAGGAAATGGAAAAATTTGGCCATAGAATTACACCAGGAAAAATTGGAATGATCCTATGGTTTACCCTCTGGTTCATCTATGGTTAATATATGGATAATCTATGGTTTATGGTTAATAGTTACCCTCTGGTAAACTAACAGTTTGCTATTGAAAATTGCCATTGAAATAGTTGATTTACCCATAAAATATGGTGGATCTTTCCACAGTTATGTAAACGTTTACCAGGCCGGGTAATGGTTTTTGCGGTTTATCCCAATTTCCGCTTAGGAATGATCTCAAATGAAACACAGTTATGGTTAAATTTACAGTAAATGGGATCATCCCAATTTCCAACTTACAGTTATATAAACGTTTACCAGAAACTAAATGATCCCTGCAAGGTCAAGATTGGAAATTGGGATGATCCCTGTAAGGTCAAGATTTCACCATGATTTTAACCATCGAAAACAGGGATTGAACCGTGACACATGGGGATGATCTTGACATTGAGTGTACCTAAGGGTTCATAAGACCTGTGGCTATGGCATTATGGGCTGGAGATTGGTATGTATGTCTCATTTTACTGCTTCGTACCTATTTATACATAATTCCATATCAAATAAGCTACACACCTTTGCAGTGGCATGATCTTTACTGTTGGAAATTGCTGGAAACATAGACACTTTTTTGCGTCATTTCTATGCAGGTTTCACCAGACATTTTAAGGAATGTAACGAAATTCAACGATCACCAATCGGGATTTCAGCAATGAATCGTGCTCAACATTTCAGCGTGTGCAGAAAAAAAAAAACAGTGGTGGCCCTGTGGATGCTCTGTGGATTACTGAGATAGCTATCATTTCCAGTGGAGTTTTGTTAGTGACTTGATTCATCCCAGGGAACTCCTGAACTCGACCCATTAAAAAATAGAAAGCTTTCTCCCATCCAAGAGAGTAAATCATCTGAGTTCCAGCTATGACTCTACAAGTACCATAGGAAAAATCATATCTGGAGTATTGAGAAAATGTCTGATCATTTCTGGAGATCATTTATCATCGAAAACACATACCCTCTGGTAAACTAACATGGCTATTGAAAATGGCCATTTATAGTGGATTTTCCCATTAAAAATGGTGGATCTTTCCATAGCTATGTTAAATTACCAGAGGGTAAGTCACACCAAATCGACTCATCGACCGAATTCCCTTCGCAAAGTTCTCGCCAAGGTCACGGATACACGATGCCACCCTTTAGGGTGGAGACGTCCTCAGTGCCCACCAGAAAGGCAAAGCTCTAATTTATTATTTTGAATTAAAATGTTCGCATTGATTGGAAAATAAGGAATTGATAGAAAATGATAAGGCAAAATTATTTTATAAATATTGGGACTCGTGTTAGTGGGATGTAACTTGAAATGGTGAAATGTTAATGGTAACTATAGATCATCAGCTGTTAATGGTAACACTGAAATGCTCAGCTGATGATGATTACCATTAACCCATGATTGTAACTTGACATTAGTGTTTCACAATAACACTTAAAGGTTACCATGTAACGTGACCTTAGTGACATGAGTGTTTCACAATCAGACTTAAACACTGGCTAATGACCATTGGATGATATTGGATCCTAGGCTGTTGTGCTAATGATTGATAATGTCAACTTAGGATTAATGCCCCCCCCCCGATTCATAATACCCCACCCTATTAGGTGATCAATCCGGTCTTGCCCTCAACTAGCTGAGCACCACCACACTCATGGCCAAAGAGACTCATGCCTCTATTTCATCCATGATCATGCTATCCCATCCTGGTGCCCTAGCGCTAACTAAGCTGCTTTATAACTTAAACTTATGCATATATTATATGTATACAGTATGTATGTATATATATATATATGTGTGTGTATGTGTATGTATATAAATATATATACAATATAATATATATAATATATATATATATATGTATGTGTAAATAGGCTTGATGGTAGATACATCCATATTTCATGGGGTGAAGCTAAACCAATACACAGAACCTTTTGGGGCACCACATGGGACATGTCCATCCCTCGCTCCTGGCGCCGCAACTTAGCTATCGTTAGGGACCCCATCTTGTGGTATAAATAGTATAACCCCCACTTATGCACGGGGCATGAACCTCAATCATATCAGCAGTTCTGCTGGTTAACCCCCTACTTGTATAGTGTTCTTGCAACCCCCCAAAAAGATAGAAAAGTAACATACCAACCAAAATTTGAAATCTTTATAAAAGATAAAAATAGTTTCGTGGTAAATAACTTTTTTTATCCTTTTGTGGCTTGCTGCTTGCTTGCAGTTGTCGCTGGAAAAAAAACATCTCGCGCAAAAAATCCCGGAGGCCGATTCCCACTATATAGCAGTAGCTGCTCATGCTAAACTAACCACTAACTCATCCCATTATTCATCGTGAGTTAATAATGGTTAGTTTATGGCTTGATATTATCCATGGGATATTAACTCACCATAAACTAACCATTATGATTATCCATTATTGTATCATTATTCACTATTCATGAGTCACATTGGACTTTCTGGTGCTTAAGCTGCGATTTTTGTAGCTTCTACCCCAATTTGACTACCAGTCGCTGACATCCCTTTCCACTGGTTTCACGCCCCATTTCTCTTAGCTTCTTCCCCCATGTTGGAAACTTTGCAAGAAATCCCCTGGCTCCTACAATAAAAACCCTCTCAGAATCAAACATGGCCTGCTGGAAAGTCCACTTACCCTCTGGTAAACTAACAAAAAGCTATTGAACATGGCCATTTATAGTGAGTTTTCCCATGAAAAATTGTGATTTTCCATAGTTATGTGAACGTTTACCAGATATGTAACATGATATGTATAGATGATTTTCCCATTTCAATGCCCGCACTTCGGGGACTTCCCAGCTGATGACACCAGAGCTGGGCCGTTTTTTGGGCAACTGGGCCTGGGCACCATGCCAAGGCGCATCGATGTATCTCTCCTGGCCATACATCGTGTTGTCCCTGCCGCGACCCGTCATGGTGGCGTAGCGCCCAGGCGTCACGTAGAACTCACCGAAAATGCCGAAGGAGTCCTGGTTTAGGGTCGAGGTGTGACTTCCATAACGGGTAGCCTCTGGTAATTGAACAGGTTGCTATTGAAAATGGCCCATTTATACTTATAGTTCTTTGATTTACCTATTAAAGATGGTGATTTTCGATAGCTTTTTGTATGTTTACCAGAGGGTAGAGTGTGTATCAATATGTATCATCATATCTAGTTGTATATCAATATCCCGATGAAAATTGGCTGATGGCCATCCCCCCTTTTTCGGGCAATTTACATCAATTTACCGAGCTTGTGACCTTGGTATGTCTAAAAATCAACAGGTTCCATGCTTAGAGATCCAAGAAAATCATATACATAGGTGACCTTAGTAGAATCTAAGCATATGTATCAATAAACGTATCAATACGTGGGTAGTACCCCATTCCATCCACTCCTTAATCATCATGTTCCCAATAAAAATTGCAATGCTGTAATATTTTGGATATAGATTCCCGATTCATTGTCAGACACCTACATGATACCCTCTGGTTATTTAACATAGCCATGGAAAATCACCATTTTTAATAGATAAACCCAGGTAAACCATCTATAAATGGGCCATTTTCCATGGATATGTTAAATAACCAGAGGGTAATATAAATGCAGAGGCACTGGGTTAATGTTTCTTCATGCTCTAGAGGAATGTTCTGCTGGAATGTTCAACGAGTTGTTACCACCACCAAGGGTCCCTGCAAAAATTGAAACCATGAATCACTGTTGCTGTAAATGATATGGAACTGATCAGTAAAAAGTGACAGATTTATTCCCTCACATGGAGGTTTCCATAAATGGGGGTTAACCCAAGATGGATGATTTATAATGAAAAATCCTATTAAAATGGATGAATTGGGGGTACCCCCATTTTAGGAAACCCTCACATGAATTCTCTCATTCCAGTTTTGGGCGTATCAATGACCATTGACCCTCCGGTGTCATCAACTGTGGCAGTTGAAAGTCCTAGTCTTTATGGAGGTTTGATGGGAAATTTCCCATCTATAAATGATTATATGTTCCATCACCAAGGTTGGATTGCTGGTTCTACAAGTTGAATGGGGAAAGGACGGGAAAGGGTTGATGACCAGCAGGACACAGGGCCCACATTTTCAGACCCATCCCATTGGGTCCCCCAGTCCTTCCCCAAGCTCTTGGCGTGTTCCCGCATGGCGGGAGCCCAAACCTTGTAGAAGTTCAAGGGAACCTGCATGGGCGTGTCCACACCTCAGTGGATGACTGGATCACTTGGTTCGTGGCGATTTTTGCTCATCATTCGCCCAAAATTGTGAAACCACCTTTCCCGGTTTTTGTTAACGTCGGGTTCAGGTCGTGATGAATTATATGAATTATTCATCCAGCAAGAAATTCGCAACCGATGAAAGCTGTTGGGGACCACGAAAAACCGGCTGCTGGGTCAGACGGGTCAGACATCAAGAAGTATGGCCCTGCCGTCAACAAAATGTGGCTTGTACAAGTTGTTCAAGCTTACCCAAAAAAGCTGCCCCTATGGATGTTGAAGACGAGCGCAAATGCCCACCACACATCCTTCAACGCCCTGGCCCCTGGCCCCCCCAATCGAGTGACGAAAGCCATCCACGTCCACACTCTCGATGAGAGCTTTGGTCATGGCAATGTACTTCTTCTGGACGCGCTCGTGCTCCAACCGCAGATCCTCGGTGAAACCAAAGCTGTGGTGACACCTGGCGAAGACTTGGTTCAAAAAAAAAAGCACCATAAAGAAATCATTTGCAGTTTGTGCATAAAGAAATCATAGAACCTCCAATTTCAAGTAAAATAGCCTAATACTTCATATATGTCATTCATATTTCATTCATATTAGTCTCCCACTTCTCTGTGTTAAACAGCCACAGAACTCACCTTTAAAAGGTCAAGGCACATCCATGACGCCATAGATCTTGCCATAGTTGATTTGCCAGGCATCGAAGTAATCAATCAGATCGCCTCGATTCAACGCGAATCGAGCAGCGAAATGAGAAATCGGGGATTCCCCGTTCGAATGGATTCTGATAAGGTTCTGATATATTGATTATTCCCAGGATATAATCTGATATCCTGGATATAATCTATTATATATATACCCAATATAATCTGATCATCCCCAGGATAAATTGATGATATTGGGTATAATATGGTATAATCCTGATAATCACTGATAATCGTCGAGATATTTGGGGTATAATCAACTTAATCTGATGATCAGCCCGGAGTTTTTCGCCACGAAAAATTGGCAACTTGTGGGTTTGTCTGAAAATAGTGTACCCAAAAAAACCCAATGGTTTTGCTGATCATTATCCCTATTCTTTATGGCTATTTTTTTGGGGGTATACCCCATTTTCAGACATTCGCCACTGGTATTCAACCCATGTTATTTTTAGCTAATGGAAAGGGCGCTGCTGCAGCTTAGGAGACATTCAGCTGGCGAAGGGCTATCCCAACCGAAAACACATCGTTGCCCTTGAGTACTGACACTACCACTAGCAGTCTGAGTAAAGTACCAACATTACTACCATCTGGTTATTTAACATAGCCATGGAAAATCACCATTTTTAATAGGTAAACATTCTATAAATGGGCCAGCTATACCATGGCTATGTCAAATAAACAGAGGGTAACCAGTATGAAGCATTTTAAAGTAAGCATAAGATTCCTTTTTTAGTGATACAAAGTCCAAATCCAAGCAGCTCCCTTAACAAAATTCCCAGAGCAGAAAGTGCCCACTTAGTTCGATGATTTACCTCTCATTTCAATGGTGATTCTCCAGTTCGCGAACAAAATTATCAGAGGTACAGGTAAAACAAAATTATCATCCAACCCATAGTTTTGTATGAAGTATATGTATCATGTATCATGTATCAAATTTATCATCAACTATGGGCATCATGTATCAACTATATGCCCACAGTTTTGCTTCTTAAAACCCCTACAAGGTGGTGCCTCAGTTCGGAATCGCTAAGTTGGTGCCAATAACTTGATGAACTATGGTTTATGGCAGATATATCGAACTAGTTTTCATGGGGGTTATATGTTTAAACTAACTTATCTGTGGGGGATCATTTCCTTGTATAAAACTGCTCAGAATATACCCTCTGGTAATGACTAACATAACTATTGAAAATGGCCATTTAGTTCGTTGTTTTACCCATTAAGAATGGTGATTTTCTAGTTCGCTATGTTAGTTTACCAGAGGGTATCGTGCTTCCAAGCGACCATTGTGGTGGAAATCTGAATCGATATAAGTTCCAGCGCCAGTGTCATCCACCCACTCGCCATACTGCCCATAGAGGGTGCCGTTGTAGGTCGCGCTAGAATTCTGAGGCGCCAGTGGGGAATAGGTTGACAGAGGAGATGAAGATCCAGTATTCAATGGATTGCTTTTGAGGAAAGAAAAAAAAACGACAGGAAGCCAAAAAAGTAGTAGTAGTAGTAAGTCGTGTTTTTCCATGGTGTTTCCCGTTTGATGGTGATTTCCTCCAAATTTCCACGTAATTCCGGAAAGTATGGAACTTGAGCATAGGAAGAATCAATGGACTTCCAGGAAAATCTACAGGAAAACGTGTTTTTCCCAGCAGAATAGGGGATTTCCTCCTACTTTTTTCCATGATCCAAGATTGGGAAGGGGGTATGGTATGATGAGGAGTTAGCATCTGGTGAAATTTATGGGAGTCGGATTGAGCAGGCGCTGTCCAACTTTACTGCAACGCTTTTTCCAAAATGGCCACTCACTACCCCTTCAACCATCTTCAACCTCCATGCCCAAGCCGCCCAAGCCCTGAACATAGGATCGAGGTGCCCATGTGTTGTTGTACCAAAAATCCAGGTAAGGTTGTTTGCCCTCAGGCGTGTCGTACAAATTCTCCTCTTTCACCCTTGGAAAGAGCCTGAGAGCCAAGCTGGGAGGTACTCAGAAATTCTGGTTTTTCGCCCTAATTTGAAATGATAACGATAATAAACCATCCCCAATGATATTGGGAGGTACTCAGAAATTCTGGTTTTTCGCCCTAATGATAATGTTAAACAATGATAATGTTAAAAAATGCTGGCAATGTGGTAAACCCAACTAGAAATCACAGACAGGTCATCATCCCCAGCCGTGGAGAATTGATATGATGAAATCTATGGAATATCCTCTAGTAAACGTTCACATAACTAATGGGAAAGATCCACCATTTCTAATGGGAAAATCAACGAACTAAATGGCCATGTTCAATAGCAAACTGTTAAATTACCAGAGGGTAGCTCCAATCATATCAGTTCGTGTTTTTTTCTGGCATTTCCACGTAAACGATTGATAGCGACCCTCCGAAACATGCTATCCTCCCATCACAGCAAGCCACCAGGTTTGCACTGCAGAGGCTCCATGAAAGAAAAAACATGTACTCCTGACATAGAAACTATTTCGATGCCCTTGAAAGAATTATATGGTTTCTTTGACCATTTCCCCCACTTTTTTTGAGATGTCAAGACTGTCAAGCATATCCCCATGTTTTTCATAGTTAACTCTTCATTCAATATTGCCAAACCACTGTGAACCTCATGTTGGTGGGTGTCTTATTCCATATTTTCCCATCTTCACAACCACCGGTAGAACTACCCCCGATGTTTCCACGAAAGTTTCGGCGGTTTTCCCAACATCCTTCGCGGTAACACTGGTTGGTAAATGTCCGACTTGAACATCACCCAACTCTTGATATCATCTCCAACAGATACTTTTTCAAGTGATGTGAAGTTCCAAATCCCCCAAAATGGGACATGTTCCCAATTAACAAAAAAGTTCTTTTCTAGTATCATGTGGTTTTCCAATAATCATAAACTACCCATTTTGTGGGAATGGTAAACATATATACCACCTCTAAAATGCCAGCTATATCCCATAGTTCGTCCCAACATGGGGTCCCCATTTTCCCAACCAACAACCGGTCTAACCAACGACCAACAACCGTCGTCCCAGGTGCAAATATTCTCGCTCGCCGCGATTCTCGTGAAATCTCCAGGGCGCTTGTGTCTCCTCGTGGCCCTCGAAGTAAAATTCATTGGCCATGTGGTTCATCACCACCTGGGTGTGACTGACAAATGGTGGGTATAAATATTATGGCACCAAAAAGATAGAAAAGGTATATGAAACATGTATATGTAATGGAATACTTGGGATAACAACCAATCATAGTGGGTATATAGTGGAGTAAATACATAGCAACCACCTAAAAGTAGAATCCAAACCTGAAATAGTGATGGTTTATCTATTAAGGGTTGCTATATAGGATAAAACTCAACATCATGGGTATAAAATAGAGATAGATTTAAACCAATCATCTGATGTGCGTCTTTCGCCGTGCTTCGGTGAACTTCGTACTTCGTACTCTACCCCCAAAAAATTATAACGAGTGCCCATTTAAGAAATATGAATGTATAGTATTGTCCCATTTATGAATAGTTTATTTTATGAATTGTGTTGATTTTTGCAGATCAGGATTCTGTGTTTTGCCACACAAAATTGACCCTCCTGTCATCATCAAACATTGGCTGGAGAATCCACCGAATTTAGTCCATGATTTTCCCAGCTGCCCATAGCTAGCTAGGCCACGGGGATTTCCCAGCCATGTTTGATTGGAAAAATGGTCTGCCAAGCCAAAGCTCACCTTCCAGGTGACCTACTCACAGGTCACCTTTAGTTTCATCAGTTGAAGCCGTGATGGATCCACGGTGGATATGTGAAAAAACACAATTCGATGAGTTCAATTTCATCAATGATCCGATCTATTTCTAGTGACATCATCTAATGATATCATTATATCATTATCTATCAAATTAGATACATCTATAATCATCTATATATATATATAATTCATCAAACCAACCATCCATATCCCCATCCCCATCCCCATCCCCATCCCTCCATCCCCATCCATCCCTCCCATCCATCCGCAGCCACATCGATGATGACGTACATCCCCAGGCGGTGCGCTTCGCTGGTCAACTCGCGGAGCTCCTCCACGGTGCCCAGGCGCTGGTCCAATGTGGTGAAGTCCAGCTGAGCGTACCTCGGGACCCAGCTGACGACGCGGTGGCACCGGGGGAAACGGAGGGGAAAAACGGGGAAAAACATGGGAAAATGGGAAAAAATGGGGAAAACTGGCGGAAAGTGCCGAAAAAATGTGGAAAAATGGAAGAACAGGTCGGAAAAGAAATTAGAAAATTGGGAGAAATGTGGAAAAAAAGGTAGCAAATCGATAGGACCTAGTCGCTGGTTTCAGATTAAGTACAAGTTAAATGCCAAGTTCCATCAAGACTAGGAAAAATCAAGAGTCTGGGGGCTTAACCATGAACAATGATTTCACCTAAGAATGGATTCTGGCGTCTCTAGTCATTGCATGTTAGCCACTGGAATGGGTTCCTCAAAATCACCGGCCAGGAAACTCGATGTTCAGAGCTAGGGCAGAAGGAAAAAATCAGGACCCCATGGACCAGGATGCCATGGAAATATCCAGACATCTTCTACCCTCTGGTTATGTCAAAATAGCTATTGAAAATGACCATTGATAGTGGATTTTCCCATTAAAAATTGTGATTTTCCATAGCTATGTTAGTTTACCAGAGGGTAAATTGAAGAGAAATGAATAGAACATGGGGAAAGATCTGGCACTTTCAATCATCGCAGGGATTTTTGTTCGATGCTGTGTCTTTGCGTGTGATATCCCATGTCTGCTGGCTTTGACCAAGATATGAAGGGTTCCAGCCTATCCAACGGAGAGTGGATCTCCAAGCAAAGAGCTTTCCCTCTTCCACCAAGAGACCATCAAATTGTAGATCTTCGTTCAATCCAATTTGGGAAAGAAAAACATCTGAAGTTCTTTCGATTTATTCCATTTTACCAGAGCGCGAAAATACATCAACTCGTGCAAACTATGGTACAAACCCCTGCTGGGTCCACCCTTTCCATCTACAGAAATACCCCTGACCAACATGGCAATGGACGTTTTTCCCCAGTTCGTCAGTTCGCTCGAAAACTCCATTTCGTCCATTTCCTTCAGGGAGTTCCCAACTAGCCATATTGCCGGAATCTGACCTGGAACCAACAAATCCAACAGGGTTTTACTTCAAAAATCACCCACCAACTCCTGTGCGCAAAAGTCACTGATGATAGTTGTTGAAGCCTGGCCGGTCTGCCCGAGGTCCCAAGAAATCAGGGTCCGCAAAGTTTGGTGCTTCACCCTCTGTGCGAAGTATTTTATAACTCCCTGGATGATGCCGGGAAACAATGGCCATAGTTTGGAACGGTGTATGTCGTCATCCGTGAGACCGTCCAAAAGCAAACAAACCCCAGGAGGATACACTTCCTACCCGTTGTTTGCGTTGCTGCAGGCCTGTCCAACAAGCTGTGAATCCTACAAATTTCAGGCCCCTAAAATGGAGGTAGTGCCTTTTAAGGCCATAATTTTTCTGGGGATATTCCCTTGCATAGCCCCATAGGCCTTATATATAGTCCTGGTAGGTACCTCCAATTTAGATCCCTGAAATGACCATTTTTTGTGGAGTGTAGTTGTGGATGTTGCTCCCTCCATCAAACCGATGGTCTGATCTCCAGATCCATTCGAATGTGTCAGGACATGTCAATGAAGCTACCCTCTCGAAAATTAAGAGCTTGCTATGATTTCAGTGGCGCATTTAGTTCGATGTTTTACTACTTACCCTGCGGTAAACTAACATGACCATGGAAAATCACCATTTTTAATGGGAATTACATCTTAGACCTCAAAAAACTCTGTTTTACTACCTACTTGGAACCTCCAAAAACTGGTGATGTTCGCTATGTCAAATCACCGCGACCTTTTTCGCTGCTACGCCTTGCTTAGCGTAAGCCATTTCAGTGGAACCTCCAGGATTCACCTCTTAGATGATGAGATATTGGTGTCCCATGTATGGGGAATCATCATGTTCCTGGGTAAATTATAATATTTCACTAACCTGAATAGTTCGGCCATGGCTGGGGATGATTTCCCTTATACAAAACCATTATTCCAGGGTTCGGGAGAACAGTGAGGTCGTTATAATTTACCCAGATGTTCCCTATTTAAAAACCAATACCATTTAAGGATAGGAAACATGATTGCCATTGATTACCCATATCTCATGGGAACATGTTTTTAAACGCATGTTTAAATCATCATATCCCATGAGATATGGATATCTAATATTTATATATGGCGTATGCATTACCTATCTGAAGATACGCACCCGTATGATATCCCCAGAATTTCGTGATTGTTGTTGGTCAGAATATCCCAAGTTCAAACTCTACGACTGTTGACCGAATAAAGACACTGTGATCTCCATGGACAGAAACTGCAACCAATACTATTTGAAAGTGTGAAAGTGTCCTTTGACAGCCCAAAAAAATGGCATTTGCCTACCTTTTGCGGCATGCGCCGAAGCTCGCTGATCCCTGTGTCATCACAGTTCCATCGGCCAATGGCCGGTGCTGTCACCGAATCAGGATCGCCCCATGTCAGGACGCTGAAAAAACGGACAAAATGGCAGCCAAAGCGGGTGGTTTTTGTTTGCATATACCTTCTGAACATTCCTGAGTTGATCTTGGACTGAAGAGTGAGGTGGCCAAGACCAAGAGAGGATGCGACAGGCAACCAATCACATTCTCGCTTCTCGTTGGCCATCAGAGCTCAGAAATCCCCATGCAACAATCCTGTGACCCACACACCACAAAGCAAACGCACTGCGTGTTGCAGCTACCTTTGGCTGCTCTGCAATGGCAGCAATGTGGCTCTACTCTCGATCCCAATACATTGAATAGATTCTGGTGGCTTCAAAACGCGTCCATCGCGCGCAGCTAACCTCAAGAATGGTCTTTCCAAAGAGCGTTGCGCTGCCAGTTTCAGGTCACCAACCGCTTCATTCATCCCAACCACGAACATCTTCACACTCTCGTCCACTTGGCAAAGAGACCAATGGAACAGCAGGATTGAAATTTCCGCCTTCAAAACAATCCACAAGTTGAACCATGTTGAACCAACAAAAAAAAACATGAAAATGGCTTACCCTCTGGTAAACTAACAAAAAGCTATTGAAAATGGCCATTTATAGTGGATGTTCCCATTGAAGCTGGTGATTTTCCATAGATTTTTGTAGGTTTACCAGAGGGTAACCTCCCAACCCCTTGAGAGCTTACAACACCACGCCGGTGGTGCACCACCTGCACAACCTGCAACCCATCACCGGTGCCCGCGCCGCCCGGAAGGCGCACCGTTTTGGAAGACCGGGGAGATCCAAAGTCCTCGGCATCCCAGACCTGGCGAAAAACAGGGGGGTATCCCATAGATGGCTTACAACTGACTCTGGTTACTGGAGGTTTACCCTATAAGAGAGAGAGAGATTATCTTTATATATATAGTATACAGTATATATCTATTTATTACATATCTATGTATTATCTATTTATTATCTATTTATTATCTATTTATTATCTATCTATCTATATTATAGACCAACCAGTTGCCAAACAAGTGGGATGATCCTTCGTGGAAAAAATGATGTTTTTTTTGCGGGAAAATGGTCTGTAAATATCTTATCTAGAGAAACATCTGTAATTCTTGTTCATTGGGACATGTTTCAAAAAAAATGGAAGAAGATTCATTGGGAGATGTTTCAAAAAAAATGGAAGAAGAATCCAATGAAACGTAGATGATGATGTTCTTTTACTGCCAGATCGATGGATCAAGTCACACAGTCAGTTGTGCCAAAGGCTCCCATGTCACCGCGGCACGGCAACGGTACTCGGAAAATATTGAAGTATAAAATCCCATAGTCATGTAGGCTATAATAGTGTACCCTACATGGCTATAATGATATGTATTAATAATATATATATGTATATATGTATATAATAATCCCAAGAAAGAATAATGCTATATTACTAAGTCTACGTAAAATAGTGATTATTGCTTACTACTTGCCCTGGTTCAGAAATGGCCATGAAAAATCCCCCTTTCCTTGGGAAACTACTCTACCACTTGGATGGACTTTCCATTGCCGGTTTTGCCCAAACGGTCAATCCAATCTAGTCCTCATCATCACCACCAGCATCATCATCATCATCATCATCATCGTCATCATCATCATCACCACCAGCATCATCATCATCATCGTCATCATCATCATCATCGTCATCATCATCGTCATCGTCATCGTCATCATCATCGTCATCATCATCATCATCATCATCACCATCATATCAACCATGGTGCTTTTCCAGCATGTGATATTCGATGCAAAGAGGCTGTACCTCTGAAATCCCTCCTCCAAAAATCCCAAAAAGGCCTTTGATGTAGGGAAGTTTGCTCGTGAGTCCGGCAAAGTCCCCCCCTGGCCAGCACTGGAGGCACTGGAGGCACTGGACCACCTAGTGTTGGGCTGTGTCACTAACACGGGAGCAAAATCTGTGCGTCTTTCCATGTTTCATAGGTTTTTTTTTTAAGTTCCATTTCAGTTTTTGGTGGGGTGATTTTCGGCTGAAATTCAAGGTGGGAGCTGAAGTTGTGAGGACCTTCCGGTTCCGGCTGAGAAACAGTCGTCATTCGCTGGCGAAGCACTATCCCCTCTAGATCTTATAACTACTCCCAATATGTCTCGTTTCCCATAGCAATCCCAGAATTTCAGTGGGAAATCACCATATGTTGTTTGTGAAATATACAATCTTACATTATAAATATAAAGGTCAATCATCCCTATCAACCCTCATTTCTGTTGGATGAATGATGAATCCATACCATAGTTTTGCTCGTCGAATTGCCATTTTTCTTCGCTAAATCATTACATGAACATTGATTGGCTACTGGAGTTAAACCCCATCAATGGTGGTAAAACACTAATAAACCATCTCCCAAATCACCACAAATAATTAGGTGGTATGTTTACCATTCCCCAATGGCTGGTTCATTATTGTTTTACTAACATTGCCATACTTACCCTCTGGTTATTTAACACAGCCATAGAAAATGGCCCATTTATAGATGATTTTCCCATTAAAAATGGTGGATCTTTCCATGGCTATGTTAGTTTACCAGAGGGTAAGTCCTAACTTTTCGTTGAACT